ATTTAAATTTTATATTAAAGAATCCTCTATATATCTCTACAAAGTATAAAAATTACAAATATTTTTCAAGGTGCATGTGTATATGTACCTGATAAAAATATTTACATTGTTTATTATTCTAGCGATATTTTTAACCAGGTGCATATTTTCCGTGAGGCATTTTCCGGAGATTTTTTTTTCCCGATATACATTTTCAGGATATTTTCTTGGCATTCGTTTTACTCAAGTGGTTAGATTAAAGTGTTATTTTGTATGCTGTGAAACCTAACTAGAATTTATTTTCATTCCATAGTTGCTTCACATAAATTTTCGATTTCATGTAATATTCAGTTTCATAATTGCACTATCATTTTGAGATTTACTATACTTTTCAGTTTTTTTTTTATTAAATGTTGTCTACAACTACTTTCAATAAAATACTGATATATAATACGGAAATATAACATACATGTGCACACATGCTCACAAACATACATCACCATATGTATACACAGTGTTTTGTATTGTGTGTTTACATATATATATATATATATATAGTTTACATTTACAAAACAGTTTTAATAATTCCTACGAAAAATGTGATAAATTTTCACGAAATAAACTGCTTAAATTTATATATATATATATATATATATATATATATATTGCGCTTTCCATAGTTTAACATAAATGAAGTTTTTAAAGTCTGAATTTAAATAATGATATTGTGTTTATATGTACTGTAATTACTGATGAAAGGATGTTTCTGAATTTAAAGCCAGGGTAGCTTAAATTACTAACAGACGGCAAATACACAACTTGAAATCAGAGTCTTTGGAAGAAGCAATAAATTTAGAATTTACGGCAGCTCCATTTCTCGTCATAGTTAACAAAATGAAAGAACTGAGAAATAGATAGCGGATGCTTTTTTGTCCTTGCACAAAGGTAATGGTCTCCCATATAAAGTAGAAAATGTACAAAGGTGGTAAGCTTTTAGTTCAAAGTACCCCTGGAGGTATATTTACGTTGAAGTCAACTTGGAGATTCCGCTATTAGGTGTTTTCTTTGAAAAGGGTAATATCTTTTTCAGCACATAACCAGAAATAAGAGTTTATGTTTTCATTACTTAATCTTCAAAGCTGTATAATTTGGAGCATCTGCTCGAAAAACTGTTAACTTATTTTTCATCCATTCATTGAAAAGAATACACACATCTGCGTAAATGTCTTGGAGAAATAATATCGTTAACAATTTTGCTACAATTTTTTTTTTTTTTTTTTTGGTTTCTATTAACATCTCGATAATGCACGTAGTATATAAATACTTGCATTGTAACTCATATATAGCTAATTACAAGGAAATTGCATTGTAACTCGAAAATACATTTATTTTCTCAAGAAGCTCCTTTGTCCAAGCTGTTTACTTGTTTTCTACCCCCAAAGTGATTTTACTCTATGAAAGCCGAACTGCCTGATCTCATTCATCAGCCACTTCATCTATTCTGCTGTTGAGTTATGCGATATACATGCATACATACGTACGACATACGTCGCGCTAAAACTAGTCATAAGTCCCAAATATAAAATTTCAACATTTTATGTTAAGTTATGCGACATACGTACGTTGTAAACGTCATGATGGAACTATTCAAAATGGAAATTTCCTTTGAAATATGAAAATCGAAATGTTTCGCGATTACAATACTTTATTTATTTCTCACAAGTCAAAACGGTGTCATAAATAACTAACTACTAATAAATTTATGGTGCAATCTAAAGAATTATTTAAATCTAACACTTTAAACTGGAATAAACTTATAATATTTGAAAATTAAATACAAACATAATACTAAAATAAGTTGCGAATAATTTGTATTCGAAAAATTGGAACACGAGAGAAAAAAATTCTCACAAAATCCCTTTGTATATTAAAAAATATTTCCTCAGAAAATAAGGATAAAAAAATGCAAGATTAATTTTTCACCATTATCGAAGCAATTCCTTAAAGAAACTGGAAATTTAAAGCATTTTACGTAGTTTCTCTTACTGATGTATATTGACTAACTTTCTGTATTCGGCACATATCTTGATTTAAGGTACGAGTAATATACAGTAATATGTGTTAGTGTGCAAATTATAAAGTAGCCAAATAGGAGATAAAATACTATTTTAGCAACCAGTCTCGTGACGAAGATACCATAGGGAGAAAAACTAATTTCACTCGCTAAATTCAACGGAGAGGAGAATTAGCTTAATTATATCCATATGGTAAGGGGGCCCGCTTTTGAAGTAGTTTGAGTAAAAATACTTGCCGTTTTGCGACAGACCTCGTAAGAAAACACGATTATTTTTACGTCGTTTCCTGAAAAAACCTGTAACGCTCGTGGGGTTAAGGATTAAATATTGGTGAAGTATAAATAAAGAATTAAAGAATAAAGGACACATTATATTAAATATTAAAAATAATGATAAGTGGAAATACGGAGGGGTGGTTACAGTTCCACAGTGCTTATTACGAGCCACCACTGGCTAGAAATAAACAGATAAGGTTACCAAAATGTGATTGGGGATGTTTTTACCACCAAAATAGTTTATGGCAACTAATTATACCCCAAGAAAGTTTGAGACTAGGTAATTTATGTTCCCAATCATTTAGTAAAATTAAGTCTTGTGAAAACTCAGAACATCTGGTATTTATGTAATTTTTGCTATTAGTAAAATTAAATATCAAAAGTCAAATTTGTAGTCTTGTGTAAACTCGGAACTTCTGATATTTATGTAATTTCTGCTGTTAGAAATTTTCGTGAGCATTAAATTTCCTTGGTATCAACATTGGCAGTGATCTGTATACAGAACACTGATTTTCAATTTAGGGTATACAGGCAATTTTGATTCTTTCTTTCTTTTTTTGTCCTGCAATTTTGAAAGGTAATTTTTCCATTCCAAGTAATTTTAACTGTCTTTTAGTCAAAATGTGATTGACCTTAATTTTAAGCGGAGGAGTATCAAGGATATATAAATTGTAAGATTATAAGTAAGTATTATCTGGTTTCCTTGAAAATGAATTTCTGCTTCCTACTGTTATCATTATTCTAAATTCTGAGAGTCTCTCTGCACTTCCACTATAAGTTTACTTCTGTGGTTTGCAACTTCATCCTATGGAAGTAAGAACATTCTCTAACTTTTCAGCATTATTCCATGATTCTGAAAAAAAGGGATAATGTTCATTTTAGTCTTTCTTAAATTTCAGAAACTTTGATGTTAGCTCTTTTAGTAAGTCATTTCTTTAACTTGGAATATTCTGGCAGGTTGAAACTTTTTTGGAAGCTACAAAATTTATTGTATTTTTCTTCCTTCATGAACTGAAGTTGGGTATTATCTTCAAATAGAGCTTTAAATTTTCTTTTTATCTGTATTTATTTATATTTTTATTATTTTTAGATTATTTAAACACTTATAAGTAAACTCCGTCTTCTTTTGTAAAAATAAATAAATAAATAAAATAAATAATAAAAATGTACCTTAAAAAAATCTATTTTAAAATCTAGGCAATATTTTTGCTTGAAATAAACTGAAATTGTGTTAATTCTCATTTTATAATGTTATGTTTTGAATCATTAAATGGTAGTTAGTAAGTAGCCTTGACAGCAGAAAATGGCATTGGCCCAATTGGGGCTTAAAAAAATAGTTTTTTTACCAAAAGTTACATCCATGAAAACAAAGTTCATTACACTAAATGATTAATTGGCAATTTATTCAATATCTGCACAACACATATTATATATATCTTAGAGAGAGAAAGAATTTTATATAAATTTGCTATGATATTTAATATAATTTTGTCAGCAGTATATTTAAAATGACAACATTATATATATATCTATACGCACACATAAATATAAGAAAATTCAATTTTTACAGACCATAGTTCGGTACTTTTTACAAGCCATAGTTCAGCATTTGCTGCTAATAATGTCTCAAACATCAACTATAGCTTCTTTCCATTTGATTGAAAGGTATTGAGTAATTTATAATGGAAAATTGCAATTCTGACAGAATGCAGTTGTGAAGTTTGATTGTCAACTGTTTATTTCTCACTCATGTGTAGGTCAGTAACTGTTTGTCTGTTGCCAATGCAGAAATGCACCAAACCCACTTTTTCACCAAGGCCACAACAGAAGACAAGTATGCACTAAAGTAGTCAAAGTATATCATCTTTAAACCTTTCCTTTTGTTTCACTTTTATATTAATGTGTTCATTAATATTATGTGTTGGGAAAAAATTAACATACAAAGGAAACATTTTCATTATGTTCAGAGCATACTTATAATCAAAGGGATCAAACTGCTAAAATCTAGTATTCCAACCCAGGTTCAAATCTTGGTAAATGGGCTCGTGTCATGTTTTTTGGGGGGGAGGTAGAGGGGACTTCTTGGTATATAATGTAAATATGAACAATTTCTATATTCCTACATGGGGACCTTCCTTCCCTTGTTCAAATAGCTCTAAAATCTTTGTTGTCATTAAAATAATGTATTTAACATTAATTGTCACTTTCCAATGGGCATATGCTGTCTTAATTCCCTATCAGAAATATTGCATACTGCTATAATTTATGTAGCAACATCTTTCTAATGTAAATGATTATGATATGATTAAAAATTGAACTGCTTGATTTTAATTGTGTTTCAACATTTGTTATGTGTAACTTATTTTTATCCTTAATATATACAATAGTTTCTATCTTGCTACAATATATGCATGTTTATAGGGAATTCTGTATTTCAGGCACAATATGACAAAAGTCTCATTGATTTGAATATTCAGTTACTCAGAAGTATTTGCTGCTTACTGTAATTTCAGTATGTCAAAGTTTAGCAGTATGTGTTCATTAAAAGAGTTTATTATTATTATTATTATTATTATTTTAGAATCAAACCTTTAGTATTGCCTAAAAATTAAATCATAAGGAAGTTCTCCTCCTGCTCATTTTACTAGTAAGAAATGCTTTCAGTCGAATATTATGGCAAATTATTATGTTTGTCTTTAGGTCAAGGTAGCTCCTTGTTGTCAGATTCTGAATGTGTTCTGGCGAATACCACCTCGCTATTATGAAGCTTCTGAAGAAATTACAGAACTGTTAAGCATAAAAGCACCTAAAATTAGGTAACTTCTTTATATTGATATAATTACAGGTTATCCCAAATAAAGAAGAAGTCACATTCATTTATTTTGTTAAATTTAATTATTTTCTTTTTTGCAACTTAAAGTTCTGTATGTATGTAAAGTAATTCTCAGTTAATATAAGAATTAGTTTAAAAGTGTGTTCTTTTATAAATCAAAACTTAAACAATATTTTTAGTGAATGTGCTTCTGTTTTAACGGTTTCTCTTTATATCTATACTAGGAAAGAAAATACAAATTTAAAATAAGTTATTATTAATTTATAAATCAAAATTTTAATGTTTAAAGTAACTTAATTTAACCTTAATAATGATTTAACTTTAATAGTAATTTGACTTTGATATTTACTTAGCTGCATTTCATCATTATATGACAAGTTAGGGACGAAGGCATTAGTAAAATGGAAGTTGTGTTTGCATTTTATTATTGTCTTTTTCTCAAACCTTTCCTATTGATTTACTTTGTTCCTTACTTTTCCGACTGATGTAATATTTATATGTTTCCATAGTTCTAAATTTCAAAGATATGCTGCCCTTTATTAAATATATGCATTTATCTACAAGTTAATGCTGAAAAATAAAAGATAGTCCCTTGAAATTGAAATACTGTTTTTCGTACTACATCTCTGGATTGCTGTTATCATATCTGACAATGAGCTTCAATTTCTTTTATTAATTTTTTTTTTTTTTTTTTTACATTTCTGCAGATGAAGTTACAATTCATAACATTTCTAGTATTTGCAGCTCCTCAATGGAAACTTTCCATCTGTAATCTGTGCATGATAAAATTTCCGGGTCTTTCAAAAGATGTTTTTGCAGTCTTGAATGTTTTCCACCATTCACCAAGTATGAGAGATTATTTGATCTTTGTCATGAACATCTAAGCTGCCGGACACTGATTGACAACAATTTTCACATCTAAAAGTTTGCATATATGCATATGCAATGTTTGTACAAGAAAGTGGTTTGAACAAAAGGCATACTCTAAAGGGCTATTCACACTGGGATTTATATGAGCTAACGGAGTTAGTTCCATGTGTCAACTAGCTCTGCTATGCCTGCAGTTCAGATTTTTCAAATTGCTGCCCTATGGAGAAAAACTGGTTTTGGAGATGGGTCGGCTACGTCAGTTGCCGTCGTTAGCTCAGATAAAATCCAGTATGAATGGCCCTTTAAATTTACATAATGCATGACATATCTTAAATTTGTACAAATTTTGCTTACTCACATATGCAAAGTTTATACTAAAAAGTTGTTTGAACAAAAGGCATACTCTTAAATTTGAAAAAATGCAGTAAAGTGGTTGAAAGCATAGGCATCAAATATATAGGTTATAATTGTCTATGAATGAAACAGATTTATGATCAAAAACAGAAGTTGTCCAAAATCATAGAAATACTATGTGTAGGTGAACAATCATGAAAGCTCCAAGTATCCAGAAATGTAGTTGCAAGATGCTGTTTGTGGTCGGTAACTTTTCAAAGATTAAGCGAAATTCACACACAACATTTTTTACGATGATAATACACAATACAGCATTATATACAATAGACAGATGGAAGATTAAAGAATAATGCTACAAGATTGCGCTCCTTATTGACGCATCAAGATACGTGTCTTCACATGATGCCTAACTAACCTAACTTCACAAGGCCTGACTAACTCTTTTGGCACGTCAGCACCACCTATAGTATCTCACTTCATAACATGCTGGCCCGCAATGAACAATTGTTCATCACAAGCTTCAAATTTAGAATTATTTTAATACAATATTCAATACTAACAAGATTTTCAACAATATTATATGACAAGTTAAATTTAAAGTTAAAATATGAATTTCAAAATCTTCATAAGCTGAAAGAGAAAATTATTAAGATATTTACTATACTTGGTCACAAAACATTACTATGAATCTAAAATGAAACTAAAATACAAATACAATGAATTATATGTGAAAATAAAAATACAAATTTTTAGAATCATTAAATTTCACGATGGCAAAATGGTAATGGTGAGAGACTGTTGATAGGACATTTAATTACACCATTGATAGTTTTTAAGTCCACTACTCCCACTTTTCCATCAGATCCTGGGTAAACATTAATTACTTTACCTAGATGCCACCTTAAAGGTGGTAAGTTATCTTTTACCAGCACCAAGTCATTGGTATTTAAGTTTGGGTTTGTTCTTTAGCCATTTTGCACGTCATGTGAAGACGCGTATCTTAATGCGTTTGGGAGAGATAGTCGGATGACCATCGTTTCCAAAAGTGCTGAAAAAGTTGCTGAATCAGTTTCCAACTTTCAACAGGTTCAACAGGTGTTTCAACAGGCCTTAGCATCAATCACATTTGGTTCAGGAATAGTTGTTAGCACGGTTGTTAGGAAGTGATGTTAAAGTGCTTAAGTTGGAAATTAAGTTGGATGTTAAAGTGCTTAAGATACGCATCTTCACATGACGTGCAAAATGGCTAAAGAACAAACCAAACTTAAATACCAATGACTTGGTGCTGGTAAAAGATAACTTACCACCTTTAAGGTGGCGTCTAGGTAAAGTAATTAATGTTTACCCAGGATCTGATGGAAAAGTGGGAGTAGTGGACTTAAAAACTATCAATGGTGTAATTAAATGTACTATCAACAATCTCTTGGGGTCATTGGAAATCATCACTATAGGTCTGGAATTTAGGCAAGCTTCAATTTGAGTTATCAAGGTGAGAAATTCTTCAGATGTGAGCAGTTGAGCTCCTATTGTACGTTTTAAGTGATTTTTCATTTCCTTAATGCCATTCTGCCAAAGACACCCGAAATGTGGGGTGGAGGGAGCATTGAATTTCCAAACAATGTTTTCTTGTGTTAACTGGTTTTGGAACTTTTCTGATGATAAAATGGATACCATAATTCTTTTTAATTCACGATTTGCACCAACAAAGTTAGTCCCTTGATCAGAAAACATCTCTTGCGGTTTGCCCCAATGGGCTACGAAACTTCTTAATGCTGCCAATAAGGCTTCTGAAGAGAGATCTCTCACAACCTCCAAGTGTACTGCTTTTGTGGTAAAACATATGAATAGGCATACATAGCACTTATGTGCCTTCACTCCTCTCTCCTTGCGGGTTTTCACAAAGAATGGTCCTGCATAATCAATGCCTACTTTAGAAAAAACTCTGCTTAGCACAACTCGAGATGCTGGAAGATTGGTCATTATTTGCGACGCAGTATTTGTACGATTTCTGAAGCATTTCATGCAGTTTCTAATAATTTTACGTTCTACGTCTCTACAGTTAATTATCCAATACTTCTGTCGGATAGCCGAAATTGTAAGTGAAGTTCCTCCATGAAGATGAGTTTCATGAAAATGTTTAATTATTAATTCAGTCATGTGATGCTTCGTAGGAAGAATTGCCTGATGCTTTTAATTTTCAGGTATATTAGCATTCCTTAGACTTCCTCCAACGTGAAGAATATTTTCGTTACTCAAGAAGGGATTCAAGGAGATAATTCTGCTGTTAGAGCTGATGTTTTTCCCTGCTCTTAATGCCAAGATTTCGGCTTTAAATTCACTTTCTTGGACTAAGTGCACAATAATGTCTGAAGCTCTATTGAGTTCAGGAACAGTTAAAACTCCTTTAACTTTTAATGTTGAACAACTGGTATTTTTCACAAATCTAAGACACCATGCTACTACACGTTTGAGCTTATTACAGGATGAAAATTTAGTAAGAAGGTTGAATTCATTTTGACTATTGGATGCAATGCACACCACAGTTTTTTGCTGAGAAAGTTCCTTAAGTTCAGGATCTAAAATAAGTTCAACCCTTTGATTACTGAAGTTACCTTGTCTTAGCCAAAGTGAACTGTGAAACAAAATTTCATTGTCTGTTAGATCTCTCAACTTTACACCTCATGATACAACATCTGCTGGGTTTTCAGATCCCTTGCAAAACTGCCATTGAGAAGGAGCGATTAAATTCGGAATCTCTCTAACATGATTTGCCACAAAAGGCTTCCAATTATTGGCAAAGCCCTTTATCCAATGAAGTACTATCTGAGAGTCGCTAAAGCAATAAATATTGCATTTCTTGAAGTTAAAGAGTGTTTTCAGATAATTAGCTATCCTAGCAGCAATAGTAGCTGCCATCAGTTCCAAGTACGGAAGTGTAAGCTTCTTTAGCGGAGCTACTCTGCTTTTTGATAGTGCAAAGGATGTCTCCAGAGTACTGGGATTTTGAAGATACACTATACTAATCCTTTGATACTGGCATCAGAGAAAACAATTAGGATCATATTTTCTGCATTAATTGCTGAACCACACAAAAAATATCTTCTAGGAATATTAATGTTAACAAGATCCTCGATTTCGGAATACCATGTCAAGAACTTCCTTCTTAGTTCATCAGGTACCTCAGAATTCCAATCACAACCACATTCCCACAATTCTTGAATCATAAATTTAGCTCTAACAACACATGCAGAAATTAGTCCGATAGGATCATAAATTTTGGCTACGGTTTGCAAAATGAGTCTTTTAGTTACTGTTTGTTCATCAAGCGATTCCCTGATTTGTGTTACATCTAAAATTATCTTATTTCGATCTGTATCCCATTTCAATAAATTATTTTCCTCAATATCAATTCCACTTTTGACCCATAGTTCTCTTAGAACTCTAGAATTGCTTTTCATTTTACGAAGATGCATGTTTGCATCTTTCAGAATATTCACCGCAGTAGTTGACAGATAAAATGCTCTGTCATTATTTTTGGCCCCATACAAAAAAATCGTTTACATACAAGAATTTATCTAACATTTCTACAGCATCACTATGTTCCTCTTTATATTTCTTTATATGATATTTAATAGTTGCCGCAAATATAAAAGGCAACCGACAAGTACCAAAAGGCAATCACAACATTTTGTATATTTGAAATGGCGAATTTTCATCATTACCGAACCAAATACATTTTAAATAATTTTAAGAATCTTC